AAAAATGAACTTTGCACAGATTTAATTAATTAAAAATTGGTATTATGCAAAACACAATTGAACTACAGATAGAAACACATTCACTGCTCTATTTAGCGGCTCCTGTTTGGGTTACATGACATCTGACCGAAATTAAATTAAAATTGTCACTCATCACAAAATGACCCACATTTTTTTGGATCAAAACCTGCAGCAATGCAATGGGTATTTTTTTTGTTAAAATAACAAGAAAGTACACAAAAATTTGCAAAATGTTGCATGAACATCTTGTGGAGGGAAATGATTGTATTTTTGTGATTTATTCGCTACCACCTCTGTCCAAAAAACAAAGCCATTATTCTTCACCCATGGACCCCACGGGAAATCAAAATAACACCATGATTCGATTCTTCACTTCAATCCAAACTAAAATTTCATGAATACATGCTCACTTAATCATCATACTTGTTCTCTTTGTTCTCAAGTTGACATGGGGAAAACTTTTAGTGATTTTAAACAAAATTGATTACACCTATGCACTATCTATAACATTTTAACATTCACCCATTATTGTTAGATAATACAATATTAATCAGTGACAGCAACCATTCTTTGTCCACTATAATATCCATGCTAGACATTTGCTGTGTCTATGTTGCAATAAAATTCTCATTTATAGAGATTCTACAATTTGCAATCTATTTTATGCAAAGCTTATAAATGCTTAGAAAGTCAAACTATCACAAATCCTCAGCTTAATTCATTTCATATAATTTCAGTCCAATTTAGAAGTATGCAATAAATGGCCATACTAATGACTACCGGTAATTTGATTTTGTAAGGTTGATCAGTTCTCTGCACAACAAAATACTCAAAGATTTTCTAAAATTTGCAATCAACTTTAACACAATTGCTGTTTTTAAATCTACAGTGGTAATAAAATCCAATACAGAAATGGATAATATTCCGTCAAAATTAGTTTTTGTATTTAATACAAGTTTCTCTTTTTTATACATCTTGACTATACTATACTAACTTAACACCAAAATGTGTTTACCGGTAGTACATTCTATTGAATGTATAAGTAAATCAATTTGTAGAAAGAAATTTATAGCAAACAAATAAAATGGGGAACATAAGTGTGGAACAAATTTTTTTTAATTGCATAACACAAATATTAGCATATAAACGATTTTCAAAGACTTTGGTGGTTTATACCCTAAAATAATGGTATCTCCCACCATGTGCCAGACTCTGCTGATGGGAAGCACTCAAGTAGTGGTGCTTCAATTTTAAAAGCAGGCGCCGTACGCTTGTCTAATACCGACATTGCTAACTGCCTAGCTAATTTGCTTGCTAATTTGCTGCATTGGTGTTCAAAAGTTACATGTGACGGTAATAAGCCTATTCCTGCTGTCTGAAGGATAATTACCAATTTCATTCCTAACAAAATTGCAACTACTCAATCCTCTGCCTTGACTAGAAAAATAGAGATTAATGTAGGAGGAAATGCATGTCTGTGAGTCATGTGGCACACATTGACACTGTAATTCAGTGGCAGATCTATGGGGGGGGGGGTCTTGGGGTCCGGACCTATGTGATCATTATTGTAAGACTGTCAAATTATTCATTGTAGGATTTATACAAAAAGAATACAGTAAACCACACTCAAGAGACAATATTCACAATTCCAGAAGTCAAGGAAAATTCTGAGTTTTTTTAGCTGAGGACATTTCACTTGGATTTTCAAGACTGCAAATTGTAACTGACATACAAAAGCCATCAAATTATTGAAACGCAACAAATGCCAGCAGTGAAAATATTGTTATATGAACTGTTTTGATGCAGTTTACTACAAGGTTTCATTAATATTATTTACCTGTGCTGGTTCAGTTATGATTCCATTAATCGATCCATGATAAATATATACAGCACCCTTCCCATCAATCCCACCATAGGGGGCTCCAACAGCAATATCTATAAAGCAATACAAGATAATCAATATAATGATATGGCGTCAACCAGAATATAAAGTCTGCCATGTCACAACCCGAAATAATATTAAGCTGTAGACATACTAGAATAGCACATTCTAATTGGTCTGTATTTTGATTTGATTTTTATTACTATACAG